TGCCAGTGCAAACAGAATTTTAGAAGATCGAGTAACTTTTTTCAAAGCCATTTATAGGCTACTTATTAGTATTCAAATGATATTTTGAGTATTAAAAAGATTGTTCTATAAATCACTTTCATCTTCTTAGCTGAAATGAACCTTATAAATTGTGATTTTTTTACTATCAGAATATGAATAGATATATACTTTGTTTCTCTTCTTAAGGGTTATGCAGGATTTCTCAATCAGATTCCTAAATGTGACAAAAATTGCTATGCACCTCCAAAAATTCCAAAGCAGCCTGACACATAGTAGATGTGCTCAATCTGTATTTAGTTCCATTTTGCTAGAATGAGTTTACAGTCCCCTTTCCTTATGGCTATTACGTTGTTTTCAAAATTTGCTTGATCATCTCAATTGCTTGGAGTACTTGTTCTGGTCTGGATGTTTTGTCTTCCAAAAATTTATGTCTTGAGCTCTTACCCTTTGTCACACTGGTGTTAAGAGGTGGGAACTTTGGTCTTGGAGACAGACCTTTTGGAATAGAAATAGTTCCCTTGTGAAAGAGGTCCAAGAAAGCTCCTGTGCCCTTCCATCATGTGAAGACACAGCGAGAAATTGGTGATCTGCAACCAGAAGACGGCTGTCACCAGAACCTGGCTACAGGAACACCTCGAAGACTTCATCCTGGTCTCTAGATCTCTGAAAAATAAATTTCTATTGTTTATAAGCCACCCAGTCTATCATGATTTATTATAGCTGACAGAACAGATTTATTAAATATATACATTCAATACTTATTACAAATATACATTCCTCAACTGTCCTAGGAAATTCTGGTCCAGGAGGTTTGGTGTGGAATTTGGGAAGATTTTAACAAGGCATTCAGGCAATTATTAAAACCAAGTAATATCACATTAAAGCATTGGTTCTTAACCTTGAATATTTATTTAGCTTAAAGCTTAAAATAAAATCCCCATTCCCTGAGTCCCACCTCAAACTAACTTAATCAAGACTTCCGGTGGCAGGGTCCATTGTTATGGCTTTGTCTAGATGTCCCCTCAAAGCCTTATGCAGTCATAGGTGGGGCTTTTCAGAGGTGACTGGATCTAGAGTGTGTGACACTGGGATTGACTCATAGTGCAGTGCTAGGATTGGGGGAGCTAGGATTAAGGGTGTGAGTGCTACCTCCCCTGAGGGCGGGTAGCCTGATAAGATGTAAGGAACAGAAAGAGGCTTGTTGCTTGTCTCGTACTTGCTTTTGCTGGCTTCTGCCTGCCTTGAACTGTTTCTCCTCTTCAATGCCCCTCTGGCATCCACTCTGCCTTGGAGACAGCCAATTATGGACTGAAACCTCTACAACTGTAAGCCAAAAATAAACCTTTTCTCCTTTAACTTTGGGTATCAGATATTTTGTCCCATTAATGAGACAAGTAACTAAGACATCCACCAAGGAAGAAGTATACATTTTAAAAGAATTCTCAGGTAGCTTCTGTGTGTATCTAGGATTGAGAATCATTGCTCTCAAATAATCCTCTGGTGAACATTAAAACAGCTTCTGGAAAAATGCTGTAGGGTAAACATTTTTAACCAATATTTCCCTAAAATAAAGGATATTACATTTAAGTAAATATTAAATCAGAACATTTCAGTATGGGATAGATATCATATAGGGTCAATTTGAATACCAGATAGATATTCCAAGTTTCTGGGACAGAATTAGTTCTGCTTTAGAGTTTTTCAAAACTTTACCAACATTTTATTTGGGCCTTTAATCATGTATAATTCATTCTGGTATCCCTGTAGCAATAGATTGTGATATGCAGATAGGATGCAAATTATCAGGTGAAGTAAGTAGAGATATGCAAAACAAGATTTGAGGTTAATTATGGTAGAATTTTAAATGATGGCCATAAACAGACTTAATTATGTACTTACATATGTATCTTTTTGCTTCCAGAAAAGTATCTGCACAGGTATATTTACCTAGATTATCTTCAGTGTGTACTTAGGTGTACAATTGTACACCTAAGATTTTGGAAAATGTTGAAAGAGCCATGTTCTGATCTCTATAATGGCACAAGGATGTTGAAGATCATTACACTTCTTGATTTTGGGGAGTTTAGCTTCATTCTTTACATGAAGAACATAGAAGAAGAAGATCCAATACCAGATGGTAATATTGGCTAGGAATGGTTTTCTCACCTACAGTTGGCAGCCTGAGTCGGAAGTAGTGTTTTGAATGCCTGAGACTTCCAGTCTGTACTGCTCAACATGATCATTGGGAAACTTTGGGAGGTATAGATGCAACGACACATCTCATTAAGGGTCTTTCAGCTATGAACATCTGACATCTGTGCTGAAAATAGGACTGAACACAGCCTGCAGTGGTTATAGATTCATGTGGTATGTTGTCTATAAAGGCATAACTGAAAAATCATGTTTTTCAGGCTTGTAATTTCTGGGACATTTTCGATGTGGAGAAATAGATTGTGAGTTAATGGACTGCCCATTTTAAAGATGGCTTACCATTAAATGTCCCAACATTAAGATAATGATTTTAGCAGATGACCTGTTCATCATTTAACAATAGTAATAGCTATCATAATTTGAACACCTATGATGCATTATGGTACTTTATTTATGGGCAACAAACAGCCCTCTGCAGTGTTCTCGTTTTGTGCTTGAGGAACCTGGGGCTCTGAGAAGTGACAGAACTTGCTGGAGGCCATGAAACTCCTAATTGGCCCTGGCTGTTCCTCTCAGGCTGCCCAGTGGGATCTCTGTCCATTCTGCCCCCACCTCCAGTACCGTGTTCTGGCACAGACTCACCATACATTTTTATAAACTGCAATAAGTCCATATTCATAATAATTGTCCTTTTAATATTTAAAATAAAGGGGGAAAAAAGCTAAAACAACTACAAGTAGATTCAGTCTTCAAGGAGCTCACTGTCTGAACAGTATTTTACCTTGTTAAAGAATAACGCTCTGGTTCCTCATATACATTTCTAGATGCTTTAACTTTAGGTTTTTAAAACACTGCATTGTTGCTTTTATCAGAGATTTCAAAAAATGAAATTAAAAAATAATAAACCAAAGGAAATCTAACTGTGTTCATCTTCAATTTGGCCTGACTCCTCAAAGCCGCAGACATTCATTTGCACCCCATTCTCCACCCTCCTTCCCAAAGCCCTGAAGCACAAACCCACTGAGAGTCCCCCTGTTTCCCAAAGGAAATATTTCATTCATACAATGTCTCTTTTGTAATCAACACTGAGAAATGTCACTTTGATTAAACACAACTCTGAATAACTAAGACCATAGTACAATAAATTCTCCAGAGCTATCTTTCAGAACAACTGATTGCTCTCCAGTCTTAATCCTCCAGAGTCTTATTTAATCAAAATGATGTTGCTAATTAAGGATTAAAACCCCTGAATAGAATAAAAAAGAAGAATTTTTCTTTCTCCTTTGGGCAGGTCAAGGAGGCAGAATTTGCTGTAAGGAAGTAAGGGTCCCTTTCACTCTTGGTAAACTGCATTGTTCTCTGACATTAGGACTTAATCCAAAATAGGTCTGAGTGATTTATAATTTTAATATAATGAGAGAGAGAGAGAGAGAGAGAGAGAGAGGGAGAGAGAGAAACTTGGATAGCTACATATACCAAGATAGCAGCTACTCAAAATCTTTCTTCATTTAATACTGTCAAAATGAATTTTCTTTAAATATTTTGTTTGGTGCTATCTATGCACTGCTTTTATCCATTGCTAACACTAATGAAAAGACAGACTATTTTAGAAAAAATTGTTGGCAATCCATTTCACAAAATAGAGGGAATAAAAGGCTTAATGCATCTGTGTCAGTCAGTTTAAGAGGATGAAAGTTTTATTTTACTTCATGCTTGAAGAGGCTTCTGTTCATGGGCAACTGGCTCACCATTTTTGGGCCTGTGGCAAAACATCATATCATGGTGGGGAGCAAGTGGTACAGCAAAGCTGCTTACCTCATGGTAGCGGAAAAGCAAAGGGTTAGGGTCCCAATATCCCCTTCAAGGCCAAGCCCCCAATGACCTAACTTCCTCCCACTAGGCCACACCTCCTCACAACAGGACCACGGCTCCAGGCCAAGCCTTGGACACATAGACTTTTGGAGGGTATTTCAGATCCAAACCATAGCAGTATCTCACATCTATTTGACACCCACTGGTGAATAACAAAAACCAAAGAGAAATTCTGTAGTAAATTCTGAACTTCTCTTCCTTAAGCATTACATTTCATTCTTTTTCTTGAATTTCTACTTAGTAATAGAAAATACATAAACTGACAAACTTTAAGAAATCATTGGAAGAGATAAAGAATCAGAAAGACAGTTTGGTGTTCATGAAAAAATGATAGGTGTTTGAGGTAAAGTGGGTGAGAAACAGAGGTACTGGATGATGTTCAACAAACTGTAAATACTCTTCCAAGTTTGTCATCACCTCTTTGCTTTGGCCTGTGATTTTATAAACCCTGCTGGGCTACTTTATTAAGACGCAGAGATAACAGTAACAGCTACCATTTTTTTGGAACATCGCCTATGTGCCAAGTTCTCTGCCAACCGTGTACATATTATTATCTCTGTTAAACCCTTCAGAAATGAGTAAATGTAGGTGAAGAATAAATGACTTGGTTAAGACCATTCAGCTTGTATTAAGTAAAGTTGAGACTTCTACTCAGGCCTGTTTGGCTTCAAAGACATTTTCTAATCAACATAACAAATCATTATATATTTTTTTACTTCTTGGATAAATTTATCAATGAGTCTCAGGAAGATGCCGATAAGCTGCATCAGTCCATGTCTGACTCCTCAGTTCCCATGACCACTGACCAAATCAGCATCACATCATTGCTTACCCATCCCAATCAACAACAAAGACCACAACTGCTATCAAAATGAACCAGGGAGCAAACAATGAGAAAACCCAAAAGGGAGAGGAATGTCATAAATCTGTTTTCTGTCTTAATCAGTGCTACCTACCAGTTAAAAAAAGACATTTGTTTCTTTGATCCACTTTCCTGAAGGCCATAAGCACCCAGTGGACAAACAATGGCTCTGATTCCTCCTGTGCCCAGGGAGATGGTCAGCAGTGCCATGTAAAACAGGCTGTTCTGCTCTTTTGTGGGTATGTTGTTTACCACGTGGTAAGTGCCTAGGTAGAAATCTTCAGTGGGAAAAGCAACCACGGACAACAAAGTACTGCCTGTAGGTACAAAGAAAAGGAGAATATATGTAGCATAGACCCATGGAATCACCAACTCACATGGTAAAGGCTTTTCCTTTGACAGTAGCATTATTGTGTTTTTGTCTTATTAAAGTACCTAGGCTAGTCATTGCAATTATGGGAATAGCTTGATTTTGCTAAGTGTGAAAATGTCTTTCATTATATGTCTTAACAAATCCAGAGTTCTTGTGTTCCCCTTCTCTTGCTCTAAAGCTTGAACTATCTTTTTTCTCAGAAAGTGCAAGCAAATTATTTCTATTTTCACAAAATTGAGACAATGAAGAAACACATCATGTAAAAATCAAAGATATCTCCACCCCATCGTGGAAGAGAAAAATCACTGTTAGCATTGCTATTTATTCTTAGTAGAGTGATAAAATCACTATCTCAAATATCTCGGAGGCTTGTTAAAGTTTTTAAGAAGAACATTATGATGAAGGAAAACACAACTTGTTTTGTCCATTTCTACTTTTGTTTCTCCCTTCACTTCCTTTCTTAGTCTCATTTCGCACACAACAGGATGGAGCCTTCTGTGTGCACATGGAGGTGAGAAGGCTGGGGAGACAGGAGCATGGCTTAGGTTGCACAGCAACATTTGGAAGAAAGGACGAAAGTGGCAAGGGATGGTTGAGCATCCTTCTCACATCTGCCTTACAGAGCCCACACCTGGTGACTTTCCTTGTCCGGTAACAATTAACAGCGCAACCTCATGTACTTAGGGTTTGCAAAACATCATCACATACCGCATTGTTTCATCTTGGAAAAACTGTATGATGCCAGAGGGTAGATTTTAGTATTCTAATTTTTCAAAAAAAATACACATTTGGTGAGGCTAAGTGATTGGCCCAATGTGACAGAGCAGCTCAGATGTTTTCTCCCTCTTCTTGGCTTTCTTATGCTCCTGTGGTCAAATCATCAAACATTTTTGAAATAGCATTTTCCTCAAATATTACAGAGGTAATAATTCTTAATTCAGGAAATTTTAAAGTTAATAGAAAAGCACACAAAATAATGAAAGTCCATAATCTCATGACCTAGAGATAAATTTTACCATTAATTATACTGTTACAAACAGATTTTATTTAAATAGCAGATTGAGATTACACTATTAGCTCTTCCAACATAACCAACTAATATGAACAATTTTTAGTACTTCTATTATATTCTTTTCCAACATGATTTCTAATGATGATGTGAGATTATTATTTGTTTTAAAATCCCTCTTCAGTTACTGTGAATGGATTTTGTAAAAATATTCTGACACATACATTTTTTGCACATCTTTATTTCCTGGGCCCAAGCTCTTAGTTAAAGGCATTCATAGTTTTATGTGTTTTTAATACCACTGATAAATAATCCTAGAAATGGAGCAATTTAATCTCCTACTATTAGGAGATGGCTTTCATAATATTAGTTATCACCGATTTTTTTGTTTTGTCAATTTGACTAGTAAAATATGGCTTCTCCATGTTAGTTTTGTCTTTTGTTTTATTATCTTGACATTAATATTCTTTGGTATGAATTTTTTATATAGTTATTTTGTGTGGTTAGTTTTGTCAAATAGACTATATGTTCCTTCCAGATTAAAATGAGGTCTAATATTTCCTCTTCCCTGCAGTAGCTTTTAGAATGTGAAAGATATATCTGCTCCACTGTTATGCAGCAGGTGATTTACCTCAAGGGCTGACCAGCCAGATGTGGAGTTAACCATTCGCTCTTTACTACTCAGTCTGAAGTGTGACGCGAAGCCTGGCTAGGTCAGAGAAACCACTTCCTGCAGCAGCCATTTAAGGGCATAACACTTTTAGTTTATGTGGTGTCTTTGCAAAAGTTAGAAAGGCACTTCATTTTCACCTTTTGAGAAAATGTTGTAACATATTGATTTTGTTAGATCAAAACATCACGTCTGTGGTGAAATTGGTGTAATAATAAAAACACAAATCTACGACATATATGATAAAATGTTGCTTCTTTGGTTTGTTCTGTGTCCTACATAGTTAGCATGCCTGTATATAAGGCAACTGTCTATAAGGCATTAGGCTGTGTCATATTCCCCAGTATGCGGTGGGACCCCTGGGTCTTCTCCAGGGGCAAAGAATCCATCATGGAAATTTGTCAGGGTGGACAATTGCATTAAAATGGTAAATGCAATCATACAGGTATGATCGCGGTGTGGTTATACACAGAGGAGCTGCCAGCGAACACTGTGTGGTCTCGAAAGGACAGCTCGACTTTTATAATCTTGGATATGGGTTGAAAAGACAGGAGAAGGTAACAATTTCAGGCAGAGGGAACATGTGTAAGATGACACAAGCAGGGAAGTAGTCGAGGCAAAGTTCAACATGGTGGAGCTGCATACTGAGAGGGGTCTGGAGAGGGAAGCATGGTGTGGATTTAAAGGTTCTTGCAGAATAAATGAATAAACTTGAGTTTTAGGGTTTAGGTAATAGAGCCAATGTATAGATTTATTTTCACAGAAAGTCAATGTTGTTGGTGGAATAATAAGCAGACTGCGGGTGACCTTACAGCCTGGAAAGTAGCCCATGGTCCAGAAGAAGAAAGTTGCATTTTTGAGCTAAGTTTATACTAATTCCTTTCTGACAGAACCTCTGAAGTTGAGTGGCAAGTTAGAATTTGGTGGCAGTTGTGAGTGGGATATGAAAAAGTAACTTGTGTTAGTGAAATGAATGGATATAAAGTTGACTTTGGTTTTTCCTTTGCTAAGCTCCAAAGTTAAGATTTCTGCTTTGGTAAGTGGGAGGGCCAGGGGAAAGGAAAGAAGGGAATGGGATTAATATGAGAAAATGGAAAAATAGGAACAAAATCTTTGTAAATAGGGAGGACTGGAGGGGTTGAAGGGAGGGCTGGGCAAGGGTGAAAAATAAGAACCAAGAGAGACTATGTAAAGGTGCAAATTTCCAATGATGAATGTCATTATATTGTATACCTAAAATGTACCAATGATTAGAATGAATAATCGATAATGGAAAATAGGAAGAAAAGGCCCAAAGGGGTAGGGGTAGTGGGAGGGGCAGGGGAAAGGAAAGAAGGGAAAGGAAAAATGCTGAGAAATGGAAATAAAGTCTTTGTAAATAGGGAAGGGTGGAGGGGGTGAAGGGAGGGCTAGGAATGGGGAAAAAATAAGAACCAAGATACATCATGTACAGGTACAAGTTCCCAATGAGAAATGTAATGGTGTTGTATACCTAAAAAGTACCAATAAAAGAATTTAAGGAAAAAAAAAAAAGATTTCTGCCCTGGTAAGGTGATTTACTCTGGAATGTAGACTGATAGGAATTATGATATTAAGCAGAAGTTAGCTAATACTACTGGTGTGTCCTGTTACCAAGCCAAGGAGAATAAGTTATTAGTGTCTTTGCTTAAATGTCTCCTTATCAGAAAGCATTTCCTGATAGAAAACAGCAATTCTGTCCCTGTCCATTCCATTCTGTCCCCTTCCCCAGCTCTGCTTTTCATCATAATGCTTATTAACCCCCGACATAACATCTATTCGCACATTTATTCTCTCTCCTGTCACCTGAAAGTCAAATTCAACAGGAACAGGCTATTGTTTCATGGGTTGCATTTCCAGACCCTGGAAAAATACCTGGTACAGAGAAATCAATAAATAAAGTGCACAATAAAGGCTAGATAATAAGAAACAGGGAGATAGATCTTTCTCAAATGGGAAGTGGATCAAGAAGTGGAGAGAGGTAGTGGGAGGGGAGGGAAAAGGGAGGGAAAAAGGAATTAAGATGTGTTATGTGCATGTACTAGTTCCAGACAAGGATTGTAAGTATTATGCACTGTAAACATATACCAATAAAAAAAGAAATACTTGCTGAATGTTGAATGAATATTTGCCTTTGCAGCAACTCAGTATTTTTTTTCTCGAGACAGTCCCCTGTGTAATTTAGGCTGGCCTTGACCTCACTGTATCTCCCAGACTGTCCTTGGACACTTGACAATCCTGCTTCAGACTCCTGAGTGCCGGGATTTCAGGCCTGCACCACCATGCCCAGCTCAGCAATTTAGTTTGTATTTCACAAATGTAAGCAATGACGATTCAGATGTGTGAATCACAGGCTTACCCTTTTCCTACACGGTAATTTACCACTGCCTGCAATCTTGTGATATGTAGATCACCAGATATCTACCCATCTATTCCTCATTTGCTCCCCGGCAACATGCTTACTTCTCACCATTGGCGAACAGCACACTACGGTCCCAAGATCTTGTGCTCAGAACCTTGGAGGCAGCTTTGGCTCCTCCATTGCATTTATGCGTTTATTTAGTGGCCAAATTCGTTTCTGCATGTTCTCTCCTGCATTTGTACTTCTCTACTCCTTAGACCACCATTCTGAGGTTTTGCTGGTTCTATTTAGCCTCTCACAGTGGTTTTTCATTCTGTTTGTAGAAAAAAACCATTTCGTGGATGTTAATTCATCATACGTCTTCAGTGACTTCTTATCTATGAAGAATAACTTGAATGTTTCAGCTTAAAATTCTAGACTACTAATTCAACTTCCTCTCTATCCCTTATCAAACTATCTTGATTTCCCCCAACATTTCTCAGTCTTTTTACTGCCAAAACTTTTCAAATATATTTATTTTTCTCTATGTAAAGAAGAAGTGTAGTGTCAGAATTCACTAATTTGTATTTCTTTTTTTTTTCTTTTTGGTACCGGGGATCAAACTCAGGTCCTTGTGCATACGCAGCAGGCAGAGAAACCACTGAGCTAAATCCCTGGCCCCAAAATTCACTAATTTTTAAAAACATGCAATCATAGTTTAAAAATACATGTCATGTCTTCATATGGCATGTTAATTGCTATATAATTAATTAAAAGACCACATTTTGATAAAAGTATTCCATAATTATTCTGCATGAACTTTAAAAACCCTTTTAGCACATTTGATCTTAACTGTGAAGCAAATGAATTTCATGTTTCACATGGAATTTGTCACAAGTTTGGTTTGGGGAAAAACAAAAGCATTCTAAGGAGTACACAAGATTGGTGTAAAGAAGCAATTACTGTAAAATATAGTACATGCACTGCTATAGGTATCGAAGCATCCTCTAACGCATACACATGCACATATAGCATCCTAAATAATATATGGAATGAAATAAATTGAAATAATATTCTTATTTTATTTATTGCATTTTATGCTAAGAACAGGATATAACATATATACCCAGGGAATAACATAAACTAAAAATTCTAACAAATCTATTTGATTAAGTTACAAAACAATCCAGTCAGGGAGGAACTCACCTAGGAAATGTAGAAATAAGCAAACACACACCATCTTGTTTCTTCCTAGGTAGACATCGGCAAGCCGCCCCACAAACACAGGGGTGAGCACTGAAGTTCCAATAAAGCACAGATTCAGAATGGCTGCTTGGTAATTACGATAGCCGAGCTTCACGGTGCAGTAGGGAAGCATGTTGCAAACAACTTCAAAGAAAATGAATCTCTCGCACAGTTCCACCAGCAGCAAACAGATCCCAACTTGAATTCTTGTCATGGAATATGATGACAAAAAGCAACCGTGATGTTTTGTTGTTTTCTCCTTCTTAATACTGAGCTTCACGGCTATGTTCTCATCAGTCATTGTAAAGTCTGTAACAGACATGACCACCTTCCTTGAATACAACTTACATTAGTAGTTTGGGCTTGATGATGTTTTACCCCTACCCCTCTAATGAGAAGATAAGTAAGATTGTTGGTTTGAATTTCACATCTCCATGCTAAAATTCCTGAGGATTTTTTTTTTTTTTTGCACATTAATGTTGTTCATTTTGGTGATGCAGAAGCACAGGAGAGACATGCATGTTTGAAAAGTAGTGTAGCCAAATCTGATTTGTTTGTTTAATTACTTAAAGACTAAATTAGGCTCTTCCTCGGAAATTATATTGAATTACATGAATCCAGTTGCGTACATGTAGAAACTCATCTGCCTCACATTGATAAAGGTTTAAATACTGAGGTAGAAGAAGCAGTTTCGTTTTTTTTTTCCTTCAGGAGAATTTGAGCACTAGATCAAGAAATAATTTGAGCCTAATAATTTCTGATATTTTAATTAAACAAGCCAGAACAGTACCAAGAGATAAAGCATGAAAGGAGATCTATTTTGAGGGGGCAGGACGCCTTATCATTATTACATTTCTTGTTATTTTTGCTTGGAATTCTGATAAGAAAGTTAATTAGGTAAGAAAAGTGCTACTACATTTAGGTAACAAGCAGGGTTTACAAGAAAGTAATTCAAGCACACTAATGAAAGGAGAAAATATTAAACAAAATCTCACTTCCTTTAAGTTGACCTCATGCTTGTAGACCAGCCTCTCAGAGGAAATGAGAATCAAAATGCTCCATTTGACTTGCTTATTATTAATCAGCAAGCAGAGTTACAGCAAGCAGCCTACACATGTTTTGTGGAATATTGGGTCTAGAATCACCCTGACCCTCCAACTGGCTGACTGGATGTTAGCGTTCTATTTTGGAAAGCAGGAGGATAGCAATTAAGCTGAAAAAAGTAGCAGTGAAGGAGTAATATTTAGAGGTTTAGTTGCTAGGACATAGGAAGACAAGGGAATCGAACTATTGGGTCACAGTCATAATAACTGAACACCTGAACATAGAAATGTTATTATCATGTTGGTGCCCAAACCAAAGACTGATAAAGGCTCTAGGCCCTGATTCTTATCTTTTGTTCTGAAAAACTGGAAGCGAGATATTTTTTCTTGGCCCCTTCTAATAGTCTTATTGTACCAGTAACTATTTGTACCTGCTCAACGTCACTAATTCCCTCTTTGTCAATGATATCCTATTTTTCCCTCATGTAGAGTGTTCATCCAACTTACTACCCAAACCTGGACACACTTGTGAGTGAAAAAACATGTTAACTATAGTTACTCCTGAAAAGTGGCTATAAACTAGGTCTGTCCAGAACACACTCCAACATTAGGCTGACCTACCCTTGGGGAATGACTCCCAGGCAGCAGTTGCATGAGATCATGGTTGTGTTAAAGTGTCATTTTTCATCTTACCAAGGACATTGACAATGACCTTTTACTTTCTCCTCGGCAATTCTGATCTTATGTGGAATGACTCAGAATGAACCTGTTGGAAGCTTAGTAGTAAAGATGGTAGCACCCAGAAGGGACTGCCCATGAGGATCGGTGCCTACCTGGTTCTCACCCTTCAGGAGTCATGATCTGTTTGCTCAGTTCAGCCACAGTTGGTCTGTGAAGCTTTCAAAGCCCTAAGTGGTACCTGAGTTTTTGTGTGGCCCGGATGCAAGGGGCCTCTAGCCAGCTGAGCAGGGAGTCTGGACAAAATGCTCCTGCAGAGCCATTTCCCAAGCAGGGCAGGAATGCCTCTCCCATGGTCTGAGGAGGAAGAGGAGGAGGTTTGAATTCTTTGGCTGCTCTGTGTATTCTTGCTCTAAGAATAGGTAACAGGAGCCTCTGGCTTGAGGTAGTTGAGCCAGTGAGAACTACAGCATTTGCCTGTTGGGTTTTTTTGTTTGTTTGTTTGGTTTTTGGTTTTTTTGGTACCAGGACTCAAACTCAGGACCTTGCACTTGCCAGGCTTGCACGGCGCCACTGAGCTACATCCCTAGCCCAGTATTTGCCTGTTTTGAAGGGGCTGTGTGGTAACCCTTAAGAGTCATATACTTACAAATAAAGTTTGAGTTATTCATATGGGGGAAAACAAATATGACAATGGTATTATGAAAGAACAAAATAATTAGCAAGAAAGCCATTCACTGAATTGGGAGCAGGATAACTGAATTATAATCCTGCCCCTTTGTTACTTACTGCAAGCTCCTTTGTGTCTATAAATCCATGATATCAACTGCACAACACAAACAGGAAAGAAAGCTCGTAACAGAAGGGCACTCTTGAGGCTTGGTTTGGAAAATAACTGATAAAATGTCAAGGATTTACTTGGAAATTCCTTTGTTATTAATTGTTCCCATACCGCATTATCCAGCTACTTTAACCAATGAGTCCTAGAGAAATGTCATGGAACCATCTCCAAATTCTAGCACAAATGGCAGAGGTTAGGAGGGTTGAATTATGCGGAATAGACTTGGAGCAATAGGTAAACACCTTCTTTGTCTCTTCCCTACGATTCCCAATGTCATACTCAGAGCTCAAAGAAACAAACGCCAACCCCATTTGAGGATAATACTTGTCAGGGAATAGTAAATGTCATTATCTTTATCAACAAACTTGAGTCCTTGAGTGAGAACTTTATGCATACTTTAACTTTATGCAACTTTCCCCCAACCCCAGGCTAGTTCTGTTCCCTGTCCCCTTCTCTCTGCAATGAAGTGATATTTCTCATTCTTATATCAGCAATGCATGCAATATATGTACATTGGACACAATTTGAAAAGTATCTAAAAATAGAAGAAACAACAAATAATGAAAGTTTCTGAGTTTCTTTTGATGCCCCAGAACATTAAAATGAACATCTGAAAGTAGTCTCATGATTATTTTTATTAACAGATTTTAAATGTTTAAATTATATAATAGTGTGTAATTATTTTGTAATAGATTTTCTTTTCTGTAGATACTGTTGCAAGCATTTCAACACACTATTATGATCTTTTTGCAAGCATAATTTTTATGGTTGCATTGATAGGTACAGCCATGTGTTGTATAAAAATATTTCAGTCACCAACGGAGGGTGTGTACAACAGTGGTCCCCCAGGATTACATCACCTAGAGATGCCATAGCCTTCTTAATCTTTATAAGTACACTCTATGGTGTTCAAACAATGACGAACCTCTATGGATGTGTTTCCCAGAATGAATCTCTGTCGCTAAGCCACACATGACTATGCCTATTTTACCTGAATATCTTTCCATGGTTGTTTAGTTATTTTTTAAATCTAATATCAGTTATAAGCCAATCTTTCTCTAACTTTTGACCATGAACTCACAATTAAAAGAAAAAGCACCTTTATAATAATGCTGAAATAAGTATGTGTGCCTCCAATCTTCCCTAGCTCAGGTTATATCTTTAGGCTAGTTTTTGTTTTGTTTTACTTTTTCAGAAGCAACACTTCTAAGATGGTGAGAAAAGGCCAGGTGTGGTGGTACATGCCTGTAATCCCACACTGAGGCAGGAGGATGGTGAGTTTGAGGCCAGCCTGGGCTGCATAGGGAGACCCTGTCTCAAAAATCAAAACAAGGATATAAGAAGGGTTTTAGGCTTTTGAATATATAATGTCTAATTATAATACATTCTTCAGGAATATTCCACTAGAATTCTTCATTGGGTAAATTCACAAGTCAAACATGTATGTATTGAGAAACTTTTCTTAATTCAATAGAGAAAATTAGTAAGAAGCTCATGTGATGAACTAATGTTCATCCATGTTGTTTACTGATGACCATCCAGAACATGCATGCATTGATTAATAAGGATTGTTTGGGGAACATGTCAGAAATAAAACTTCTATTTTAAGGAGGCTATTTTTAAATAGCAGCATTTACAAGCTTCTCTGTAAGATATCACCAGGATGATTATAAAGTTTGAAAAAGCCATAATGACTTTTAAAATTTTTTAGTGTGTTTCTGCAACATTTTACAATTCTTATATGTATTTTCCAAATAACTTTTCAGAGCTCTTCTAAGCATTTAATAAGCATTTTTAAGACAAAAGTTTTGTTAAGGGAAGAACATTTTTCTAGCTCAATAATACTCTGTAAATAGTATACACAAAGGTCAGTTGAAGACATTTATTCTTTTAAACCTATTGATTCCGTTTAATTTTACTGTCAGTGAGGTTTGGTAGCTGACTTGAAAACTTTGTCAAGGACATGGGGCTGTTGTAGTAAAACATCATAGTGAAATATTTTGCTGCACTGTTCAAAGTGTAAAATGGAAAGGTAAAGATACATTTTGGGTATTTTTTAATTAAAAATTTTTCCCAATTTTTACTAAGATTAAACTTTCACATTAAAGAAAGTCAATGAGCCCCAATCAAATTAGATATAAAATCAAAACCATGCAAAACTAATTATTGTATTGTTTAGGAATGTGTATGTATATGTATATATATAAATATATAAAACATTACATATATGACAATGTCTTGCCTTTGTAAATAGCAAAGGCAAGATTAACCAAAATTCAGGATACAGTTCTGGTTACCTCTGGGGACAAGGAAAGGGGACTCAAAGACTTCAAATGGATTAGTAAATTCTTTTCCTCGCTTGATTTAGAAGAGAACTGTTTATTTTATTATCATTCTTTATATTTCATAAATACAAAATATTTTGCATGTATAGGTGTCATAAAAATAAAAAATTAATTAATAATGCTCATCAATTCTTCTGTTACTTATAGTAGCACAAACTATTTCTGATAACATGCCTCCTCCACTGGACTGTGACATCCACAAAGGCAGTGGTCTTTCAGGCCGCCATTGTAGCACACATGACATACCCTTGCTTTCCCTGGTTCCTCATCATCTCCAGTACTCAGTGAGGAGTCTCCAACCAGACCTGTCACTGTGCATCCCAACAGGCAATCTGGCCTGCTGGACTAACCTGGAAAGTTGTGTGTGAGCGAGGTGGGACATGGGGCAGAGATCAGGTGTGACCCATTGAATCTA